ACATTGAGAAAACATACACTGAAGAAAATTGACATTTGAGAAAGGAAATAAAGAACTGTAAAGAAGGCTACTATCTACAAATAGTAGCGCCAAGGAGAGAGCAAGAGCTTTGGCTGAACAACCCAGCCACGTGGAGCCTTCAGCCAGGAGGAGAATACGTTCAACCAGCACTACCGTGCGGGTCTTAAAGGCAAATTTTCATCTCCAGATCAATGCCTTGGTGAAGTTATTCCGGACTCGGCGAGCGGCGGCTCGAAGGACCCCGGAGGCCGTGGTTGCTTTGAAGTGTGCGGGCAGGGGGAGGCCGGAACAACCCGACCCCTGAGGTGACGTGTGGAAGGACAGCCCGAAACGCTGGACCCYGCTGTGCTCCTGGCTCCCTTGGCTCATTCACAGCCCATTACCGGCGCTGGGCAGAGAGCAAACGAAGCCCCTCGCGGTCAAACAAATGCGTGTTTGAACCTTGTGTTGTTTAGCCAAGGTACCTCTGATACGTGTGGCAAGAGCTCCTGGAGCAAAGCAGGGATTTAAAGGCATGGAGCGTTGGAATTGCCCAAGTTTGCAGCTCCTATCAATGACTCCCATCATCCGTCCTCGACTCCGGGAGGAAATAGCTGCCCTCCAAACAAATTAGTGGAGGTCCAAGGGCTGCATTTCAATTACTCTTGGGGGAAATGGCAAGAGTGGAGGAGGGGTCTCTTCCATGACAATGCCGAGACCGGTCCGGAGGTTAGGAAAGGTGCAGGAGGAATTTAAAGGTTGAGCCTGTTGAGATTTGCAATGCTGTCCCGTGTGATGAGCTCTCCATTGAGGTCCTCTGATAAGATACCACTGGCAGCACAGGAAAGAAATCTGTCCCCGCCACRGTAATTTATGGTGGAAAGGAGGCACTGCAGCACTTGTGACGCTCTATTTGCAAACAAACAGGAAAACCACAAACAAAACCCCAAAGAAATGACGCCAACATGCAGAAAGAAATGAAAAGTGAGCCACGGGGCAATAAAGATTACTCAGGGACAAGAGATTTACTTGGGCTGATCAGAAGTCACGCACCTCAGAAATGTAAATGATACTGCTTCAGTTAGCTGAAATCAGGCACTGAAGGGAAAGCAAAACTGTTTCTTCAAGATATGGCTGGGATCAGTTGATCAAGCTGTGCCAGCACTGTGCTTTTATTTTCCAAGGAGGCTGGGCATCAGGCTACAGAACAAATGAAAGGGCAACTGTATTGTTCATTATCCTGGCTGGAGAATTTACAGCCCGAGTAGCAGCTTCTTACAACTGTGTGGAAATGTTATTATCCACAGAATTTGTCACAGCAGGAAACCCTTTTAAGTGGCCCTTCTTTCCCCTTGTTTTTCTAATTATAGAGTAGTATATGAACTTCGGCACCCTATTWACTGAGTGTCATCTCCTCTGTAGAGACAACTGCCGCTATTTACGATTCGAAGTCCTGCTTGGGAAGAGCGGCCTCCTTGCCTCGGCACGAGTACCGACGTGGTTTTGTAATAAATAACTCTTCAGAGCTGCAGCCCTGGCTCCGAGGGGCTGCTTTTGCGTGGAAGGTCAGCACTAACCGTGGAGATGGTTCAAAGCACTCCAGGTTCAGTGCAAACACCGGCAGAGCRCAGGCAAAGCCAGGGAGCGCCCGGGAAGCGCTCATCACAGAGCTCCTGTGCACGGGGCTCACACAGGCACAAAGACCAGAGCTAAAGGAGAAGAGACAGCAGAGGCGGACCTGGACAGGGGCCCCGAGTGCTGCTGGACATGCAACATGCCTGCATTTGGATAGTGGCAGTGCACAGCTCCAGCCCAGCAGGGACACCCCTCTCTGCTCCCTAAAGGAGCCCTGGATCTCCGCCAGGACAGCGCTCCGGGGCTGCTGCTCTGCGAGAGCTCTGCCAGGTTGCTGCAGGTACCTCTCTAAGCTCCAGGGTGCAGAACATTGAAAACTCCCGTGTCCCTTATGTGGCAGGAAAGCAACCTCCAGGGCTACCAGGACATCCCTTGCTCCTGCTTAGCAAGCGTTCTCGTTTTCTAGCTCATGTAGCAGCTGAAATTTTAAAGCTTTTATTCTTTAAAGTAAACCCATTCAAATTAGAGAAGCAGGAGCAGTAATTCAGTTGCACAGACAAAGGACTAATCTTGATGTAAGAGACATCTCTCCCCAAGAGCACTTTTAAGACGAAGAAGGCTTAAGGCTCCAGCACAAGTGAGTGCCACCTCCCCAGCGAGGACCCTCAGGTACCATGGAGGTGTCGATGGCACCACCACCTCCACCCTCCGTCTCGCCTCCCTCACCACACACAGCAGCTCCTGACGGGGAAGCTGCTCCTGACTTGTCCCTGYTTTTTGGCAGCGTCTGATCCAGCCCTTGTCGTTTGTGCCAGTCAGTAGGGAAGGGTCTGTCTGGTACGTGGCCCTCGCTCAGCACCAGCTTTCAGGTGCTGCAAGTGGAGCTGGGTCCTCGCTACCCTGCTTCCACCCATGGCCACCCGGCTTTCTTCTGGAGCGAATGCTGGGCCCTTGGGATGCTTGTTTCGGAATCAGAGAGAAATGGAATAAAAGAGATCATCTTGCACTGCTGGCTGCTATTTGAAGCCTGGTCATCCTTTTACTCGTGCTGTGAGAAATACAGTAAGAACAGCTGTTGCTCGTGATGTTTCAGCCATCAAATAGGGAAAGATGAGAGGAGAGAGGCCACTGAGGGAAGGGCAGGAAGGCAGGAGGAGGGAAAAACTAAGGAACCAAGGGGGAAAAAAGGTAGAGAAGAGTCAAATTGAAAGGGATAAAAATGATGTGCAAAAAAGTAGCTATCTTGAAAATCAGGCATCACTGTGTGCTTGTTAGTCCTACTGAGGACAATTTGATCTGCCAGTGGTATGCAAATCTACTGTAAGCTGTTGTGCCCACAGATGGTACAGAGTCAATGTACAGCACTCACACACACAAATATGCACCAAAACAATAGGTGATTCTGCATGATAATCAGTAAGAGCTACATAAAACAAGAGAACAGTTCTAATACATTTTAAACGAGGAATATTTTAAGAGTTAGATCCAGAATGCGTTTTGATTTATGTTTTTTCATTTTTCCACTTGGAGCCTTTACAATCAGCTCTCCACAGCAGCAAACATCTTCATGGTCCTGTGTATTTGCTCAGGGACTACTATAGCATTTCAGATCCATGATTAGATTCCTAAGCACTACAGTAACACAAATAATAAATACTAATTATATAGATAGAAGTAGTGCCTTATGTTCAGAGGAACAGCCAGAAAAACGGTGAGCTGCTACATAGCAGATTTAGTATTTGCCTGAAGATTTTTATCTTGAACTAAAAGCCCTATCTCACTCTGCAAGCAGTATTTCTACTGGGCACCTACTTTGTTTTCCATTCCTTTTCTCTTCTTGCTGAACTAGACTCCTAGACTTATTTATGGAAATGAATTGGGGCTTGAGATCAAGAGTTACAAAGCTGGGAGACCTCATACCCAAAGGAGTCAGAACTGCACAATACATCCCTCGGAAGCTGGGGACTTTTGTTGGGTTTGTTGGTTTGTTTTGGGGACTTGTTTCATGTTTGTGGCTTGGACAGAAGTGTGTGCACATGGAAAAGCATTTGCAGAGTCTCTGTCCTGCAGTGCCCGCACAGCCATCAACCAGGAAACAGGGAACCAGGGAGACTATAATACAGCAAAACTCAGACTCTTCCCACCTTCCAGGGAAAAGCAGACGGAGGAAAAGAAAAAAAAAAAAATCAGAAAGAAGCAGGGAGCCATAGCAGGAAGCCTGTAGGAAGTTGTGTCCTTGCTCAGACCTCCCTCTCCCTTCTCTTCCCCCAGCACATACATCTGCCACACTGGCAATGAAACAAGCGGTGTAGAAATCACTGGGGATGGCCTAACAGCAGCAGGAGCACCAAACAGGAGCTTGTTTGTCCTGTGCCAGCAGTTAAATTATAGTGCCCAGCAATGGACTGGAAAAATATACACATCCCCAGAGGCCCAATAAGATTTTTATTGGCTATAGGTTGATATGAATTGACACATGCAAATACCTCACACCTATGCAGAAGCTGCTATCCTGATTCTTATCTAGAAAATCAAGCAAAAAAAAAAAAAAAAAACCCTTTTCCCTATAAATGTATATATCAACTTTTGTTGATGGATGGCAAACATCTTTGGTCAGGCCAAGGATTATTACCTGTGCTTACATGATGAAAACAGGATGGAAAAGAAACGACTCCCCCTGGTCACAAAGCAAACCATTGACAAAAGTGAGAACTCAGCCCAGTTCTCATCACTCCAGAGCCCCATCTTCTGATTCATGTCTCTCCAGACTGAAATCTAACGTTAGACATACCTTCATTACAGAAACATTTTTCCTTTTGGCAGAAAGTCATACTGGGATTATGGATTCAGGTCAGGAGCTTTGGATGCGATTCCTAGCGGTGAAACAGCTACAATCAACGTTAGTACCCACGCTCCCTGCCTAACACCAAGGCACAGGAGCAAGGAAATCAGGGGGTCACAGCCCCTCTGGAGACCAGCTGGTCCAGCACCTGGCTCTAGTGGGGACACCTGCTCAAGTGGGGTGACCCCAGCCACTTCGGATGAGTTTTGGCGGTCGCCAAAGACAGAGACTCCACAACCCACCTGGACACAGTATCCTCAAAAGTCACCTAAGCCAAAGCACTACCAGACACCCCGTGCCTGACTGAGGTTATCCTACTTGAGAAGATTATGCAGTTACAGTCCCATGCAAACGGGATGAGGATGGTCTCATCTCATGGATGAGAATCCATGAGATCCATCCATGGTCCCTGTGGATGAGAAAAGGCTCGTTTCTTTCTCATGTGTGGTGTTTTTCCAATGGCAGCGTTGATCATTCACGTGCTTTATATGTATCAGCGTGGCAGCTCTGCAGGCCCGGCCTCCGATTAAAAGTTTCTTGTATTTAAATACATTATCCTTTATTCATTTATCACTGATAAATACAAGAGATTATTTTCATCATCTTAAGATACATTTTGACTCTAATTAGAGAAAAGAAGATTTTTTTGTTTGTTTGTGTACAGTCACTGGCTTTCCCTGAGTATTTGGGAAGTGATGAGAGCAAAAGGCATTCAGCAGTAGGAGCAGAGCAACGTCTTCCAAAGTTCTGTATTACCAAAATGCCATGACAYGATGAATTGCGGTGATGAGGGCTATCTAAAAGGTTAATCTATTCCAGAGTGGTGCAAAAGTGGAAGCAAAGACATTGCATATACATAGCAGAGAAAGCACTGCGAGTTCTGCTAGAAAAAGATAAGAATTTTTCCAGGAAATCTCAATTCCATTAAAATTAATTTACAACTCAGTTTATCTGCTGCACATGTGCAAGCCTCTCTTCTCTGCCAACCAAATCAGTATCACATGGGACTTTGTCTTCTCCTATATATTGTTTTCTCAGTTGTAAAGTCAAGGCTGTTCCAAATTGGAGAGTTATGACAAAATAGATGGCAATTATCTAGCACAGCAGAATAATCAAGGAGTCAGCTCTCTTTTGGAGGGTATTTTGTTATTGTTTGATAGAAATCCTGTTTAAAGTTCCAYAGTACTTATTCAGATCTGACTTCCTTTACTCAAACTAACTACATTTTGAGTACAGCGCCCTAGAAGCTCGAGCTTTATCTCCAATGGGAAGCTTTCCAATTTATCACAAYTTAACTCCCTTTTCGAACCTAGCCYGAGCATGTTTTYACATCAGGAAGAAAGAGGACAGAGGAAAGGAGTAGAAATTGCCATCAATTTTCTTCTGCCACAGACCCTCTGATGGCCGAGCACTTCTGTGTTTACCTTATTATGGAGTAGTTAGACTGTAAATCTCACTGATGAGCCAGCAACCGAACCCAGGGCAGCTTGGTTAGCTTCAGAGCCTCATAAATTCTCTAAAAAAGGCACTCTTCAAGGAAGGCTGGAAAATTACCATTCATAACAGAGACATCCAGTTGTAATAACCTGGAAGTATGGACAGAAAACAGATTTATGAGATTAGCAGCCCACACCAAGCTGGGCAGGTGTGTGAAGAATACAGCAAAACACAAACACAACGTAAGGCCAGACATGATGGCCTCCATGAGGCCTAGATGGCATCTAGGAAGGGATCRTTTAGCCATTTGCAAAGTGTCTAAGAGTAAAGGATAATGATGCACTGAAATAGATAATTGGAAGAGGATGCTGAGCCTGTCAGAAGAAGCTAGAAGAGCATCTGTCAGGACTGACCCGGACGTGGACGATGTCTGCCTTGGGTGAAGGGAGAGGGTGGCCTTTGGAGTCACCKCCCAGCCCTGCGAGCCCATGGTTGAGGAGGCTGGCTCAACTTCAGGTGGCAGCTTCAGCTGGTCTGTACTTTTCAGGCTTCATTGTCACAAGTGACTGTAACTCCATTTTCCTTCCTTTTCAAAAGACCTGTTTGCCACTTCTGTTACAGAGCACACGGCCAGCATTTCTGCCATCTCGAAAGTATTGAGATGAAATGGACAACCTTATTACTTCCAACAAACTCACAGAATTCATGCCTTACAAAAATGGCTAACTCCAGAAAAGGAAAAAAAAAAAGTCAACACACACACACATTTTTTCATGCAACTGCAGCCTTTCTCTTGCCAACATCCTTTAACATGGGCCTGAGCTCTGCTCACAGTGATRTATTAAAGTCTGAATGAACACAATTTCCTCCATGCCTTCCTAAGAGCTTTTCATGAGGCATCGCAGTGCAACAGTGTCATCCACAGTTTTAATGATGACAACTCATTTCAGGAGGGCATGAGCTGAATCCCAATGAATAAATTCTGGGAGTTTAACCTCTTTGTGACCCCGTTTCTACTGCGTTTTTTCCTCGTTTCACCCCAGCTCATTAGCCATCCTGACAAAAGCAGCTGAGATGAGATGCAAATCTTTATAGCCAGGCTTTAAACAAAAAGAGAAGAGTGGGAGGAAGGAGGAAGGAAGAGAGGAGAGTCATGTTTGGTCTGGAACGATCTGCTGCGCTTTTGTAAGCAAGSCAATTTCTCCCAAGAATGACACTGTTCCTGAACGGAATGGTGCATCTTGGACTAGAAACTACCCTGACATCACATTTATGTCCAGCCCTCCCTAATTTCTTTATAATGTTCTGTGAGTGGGGCCGAGCTCATTGAGAGGCAGCCTCTGTTCCCAGGACATCCTGTGGCCAYGGAGAATCCCCACGTGTCATGCTCCGTTTTCAGCACTTCTTTTCTCTGTCAAAGTTAACACAACATTAAGGGACCCTTAAAATCAAATAAGCCTTTCTTTAATCCTCTTTTTGCTCTGCCAACTGTTGATCCCGGTCTGAAACTGGCACCTGTTTGGCACCTGTGCCCAAGGTACTGTTGGCATTTATCTTTGAGCATCTCCTTTTTTTGCCCTTTTACCCCTTTCCAGGATTACTCGGATGCTTAAAAACGCTCCTAGGAGTTCTTCTTGACATAGCAGCTTATGAATCAGGACTGTATTTATTTTCATCTGTGTTATATAAATATCTAGTGAGACTCAATTCGCATCCCACACTTATACAGCATTACAGCTGTTGAGTAAAGACTTTCTTAACAATTTTACGTATTCCTTCTCCTATTATTATCCCTATCSTCACCACTGAAAACTAGCAGGTAGGAATTTCAACATGTGTAATATTGTAAGTTGCAGCTTAATTTATCTTTAAATTTCAAATAGGTTTTTAAGATTTCAATTTGTTTGTTTTAGTGGTAGGGTCAATCTTTTGCTTATATTTTTGTAAATAACATGGGCTAAGAAGTCTGCATCACCTACACTCTACCTGCACTCTATTGCTACACTTCAATAAGTGACGTTTCAATTAAATTACTATTTATCTCAAGTAATTAACTTCTAAAAACCTATTTCTCTTTCAATTTTCTGTTATATTTAAGTACCTTCACTAAATCAAATTTATTCCAACTGCAATTCCATTTACTAGCTTACTATTGCAATTTTAAAAAGTTGTTTATTCCCAGAAAACTGTCACTGTTGGTGGGCTGGGGATTTTACTGAACACTTCAGTTTGGATACAAATAGGAGGAACAAGTTCCTGTTGTCTGCACCAGGGAAAAAAGATCCTAGAGAGACAGAAGAGAAAATAACAACTTGTTGATGCTACTTGAATTTACAGCGAATTGTTACTGGATTTTATCTGTTTAGAGTAAACATATCCTGTTTACTGCAGGATCTTCTGGGAGGCTCTCCGATTTGCATGTTCATTACATCAATCGTAGGAAATCCCTCCCAGCCGTTCAATAGGAAAGGGGACTGTTAACTCTGGAGCTGATGTCACCTTTCTCTTTGTGATTTACTCTGAGTGCCATAAGGGAGGCAGATGTTTACAGCACGAAAACAGTCTACAAGACTAAAAATAATATGGCCCAACCTGTGTAAAGCTTTCATTTTATATATATATATATATATATATATATATATGAGGTTTTCGTATCTATTTCATAGAGAGAGACATACAAAGATTGTCCCAGATGTTGGGACTCTCTCTTTTCACGCTAGCACAAGCTGAACATCATCAGTAAGCACAAGGTACTGACAGAGCACACTTCTCCTCTGCTCACCTTAGGGCGGGCGTTTCATCCCACACTCGGCCTCAGGCAGCGTTTTGGGGCCGCTGAGCGGTGTCCMGGTGGAACAGTCAAAACCTGGGTTGGGACGGGAGGCCCGAAGGGACGCGGATGCTGAAGGATGGCGGCACTGGGAGGCTGCTGGTTACCTAAACCAGCAGAAGTAACAAAACTGCCCCGTTCTTCCCGTGCTGGCGCTCTTCCCTGCATTTAGGAAAGCTGCGCTGACTGGAAACTGTTCTTATTGCTCCCGTGTTTGTGCTCTGCATGTGGCCATCAGTCAAAAAAAAAAAAAAAAAAATTTTTTTTTTCTTCCTTTACAACCTCTCCATAGTCAAGCACAGATAATTTTTGTCTGCCCCAAGGCCTCCTTCACATCCTTCCCCATCGCTGACAGCCCCATGCGTGTCCCCTCCCTGCAGGGAGGGCACTGAATTCCTCAAGAAACCTGAATTTCTTGGGGTCAGACGTGTGGCGAGAGGCTCTAACCCCCAAATCCAAGCACAGCAGAGCCCTGCACCCTTCCACTGCAATCACAGCCTTACCAAGCTGTGCTACGGACCCCGAGTTTCTTTATCCTTCACAACTGCTAGCAACTCAAAGACTGTGCAGTGGAATTAAAGGAGAAGAGAATAATTATCTGAGATTACCAAGAACTGAAATCGCTTGGACAGAGTTCAGCTGGTCATCAAACTTCTCAAGTTCCAAGAAACAAAATAGATCTTTAAAAAGAAACATGAAATTTTATAACGCTCTAACCACTAAAAAAAGAACAACATACAGGTGTAGTGATACTATTTTAAATGAAACAGTCTTAAAATTGTTAAAAAATGACTGTTTGTCTTCTGTTTTTGAAAGCACATACTAACGAAGCATAGTCACTTAATATTTTACAGTGGCTGTGGATTTCTATTTTTTTTTTGAAAAAAAAAAAATAGTTGACCAAAACAGTTCACGCCTCTATTTCTCCGCTCCATGACATAAATTCTCAGGGCTGTTCACGTACCAATTCTCACTGCCTGTTCTCCACCACTCAGTGCAGAAATAACAGACCTGGCAGCCAGAGTGCAGGCAGATAATTCCCAGGGGCTGTTGCCAGCCCAAAGGAGTGAGATTAGGTTATGTGATCGTATTTTGTGTGACTGTCTCTGAGCTGGATAATTTCGTGCCTTGCTGGACTAGGARTCCTGGGAAGGACACCAACTTTGCATTAACAAACTAATATGTAATAACATAAAACTGATTCTGCCACTGATACGAGGCTGTGACTGTGTGTGCTGAGCAGTAGTTTATCGTGGGTTTGCAGCCTCTTACACCAAAAGTSTCTTTTTCTTCCAAGTGGCCACTGATGGTCTAAGGCTCTGTTGGAGACAAAGGTACAAGCAGCAACTTCTCAGCAGACACTGCCACAAAACAAGTTGGGGTGAGCGAGAGAAAACTAGTTAAATGAGACAATGAAAGAAATCTAACAGGAAAATTGGGGAGAAAGGAAGAGGGAGGGGAAAAGCTACAGTGATAGAGAAAATTATGTATGGGTGTGGAGGTGGCCAACGAGAAGGAAGGATATGCGAATAACAGAGTTATCTCTGCTGTTTTACTCTTAATTACATCCTGATAAACAGGACAACAATGGGAGCTATATGTACAACTAAGCAGCAGAATGTGGCCCTCACCTAAACAAAGTGCTTGGGAAAAACACCCACAATGGATGAATGTGAAATGATGGTCACAAAAACGAAGCAGCACAGAGCTCTGTGTATCTGYGCTGTATATGGGACAAAATAAGAAATGGTTCACACGTTCCACCATATAATCTTAACCTTAGCCTCTGATTGTTGTCCTATACTGGAAATGTATGTGCTCACAAAGAGATTTACATCAGTAAAAAAGTTATGAATGTGTTGGTTCATAAATAAATTCTAGCTGTATTTCTTTTTCTAAGCAGCGGGCACCTCATGTGCACTCTGCAGAGATTTAGCTTGGTTAAACATGTTAAAAATAGGGCCCTGAGAAATTAATGATTTCAAATCAAGCCCTGATGACTTGAAGTCATTGCTTTATCTTTTGACTGTGTAAGTGGTGTCACTTTGACAGAGAACTGAACTTAGCAAATTTAGATTTAGGTGTCACAAAATTAATGTTTTCTCCATTCCATTTTTATTTTGTCTTTTTCTTGTTTAAATGAGCTCATGGCCCACAGAGGCTGAGAGCTCCGGGTCATTAACAGCTACTACTGGGCTCTGCTACGCTGGTCGGTGCGAGACCCCACAGCCACTGCACTAGCAACAGTATTTATGGCAGAAGGCACCAAGACAAATGAGGAACCCGAATATCCCCCAAGCCTCTCTCCGTGCCTCTRGCAGGGTTCAGCAGGCACAAATTCAAAGGAGTCTGGGAATAAAACTGTGTCCCCAAGGAGGCAGGCCAGGCTCTGGAGCTGCTGTAACTGTAGGCACATTTTCCCCAGGTAAATCCCGGCTCAGTGTCAAACACAGGCTTTAATTGAGTGCAATATAGCRACCCTCTTACCCAGTGGGGCTTTTTCTCATCAGGTCACAGTTTTCCCTGCCTTCCCAGGGATGAATTCTGGGGAAGTGCTGGAGAGAGCAGGCAACGTGCTGAGGAAGCCCCGGGACACTCGCCAGCACTCACTTCTCAGGGGACCTGTGGCCACATCWCTGCCCTCCCTGATGTTAAGGTAGTATCAGGCAACCATAATGACAGATTTYGCTGCCTGAGACACTCCAAATGCTTCATACGCTGCTTGCTAAGCCTGAGAATATTTAGCTGCTTTATTTTAGCAGCAGAAGGAACCTTTGTGATCACATAATGTGATCTGCTACATAACACGGGCTCTTCACTCTCACCCTGTAATTTCTGCAACAAGCCCTTGGCCCTAACAGGAGAGATGTTCTATAAAGGGAAACCTTAAGAAAAGAACTGAGGCCTTTATAACTATTCCAATCTTATTCTAAAACCCCCAAACCGACCTGGCTCCTTCCCTGGACAGGCCCTCTAAAGCACCCCACGTGCAGGCTCCAGCCTTGCTGCCCGGCTGCTCGTGACGGGGACTGCCGCATCAGTGCGGCTGAACTGCAGCGCTTCGCTTCTGCAGGCACTGTGATTTGGTGACACCTGGCGAACAGCGCCTCTCATCCTCCTTTCTAGGTGCGTTATTCTGAAAAGGCAAAGACTGAAAATTTTCCATTGCTCTCAAGACACCTGCCTTCTCTCCCCATGCAGAATGAAGCTGCGCTCACACGAGCTGCGAGCGCCTTTCGCTCCCTATCGTTCTGTGCATTTTCACATGTTCCACAGCCAGTAAACGACAAAAGAACTTTGAAACTATATCCAATTAAAATCCAAATGTAATTGTGTGGTCTGACTGAAAAAGGCAGCTATTGTCTGAGTCAGGAAAGCCATTTCTTTGTTTCCACCTAGATAATGGTGCATTTTTGCTCTTGCTAATGAGGATTATATAACACGAACAAGAAAACTCCAAGTCTGCTCCTGACGAATATAAAGCAGTTTCTTGAAAACTTGTTTCTGTGTCCTCCAAGACCTTGAGTGTGACTGATCTGCAGYGTGCAGCGCATCCCCTTGGCTCCGAGGAATGGGGCACATCCCCTATCCCCYTGAGCCTCACTTAAGCACCAAACCCTGAGGGAGCATCCCCAAGCTGCCTTCCCTTCCCACCTAAGGCAACTGARAGCACTGATTTTAGGAAGGACGTTGCAAGGCAGGGTAGGAACAGAGAAGGGGAAATGAGGGTTTTATGGCCAGGCTGTTACGGGCATTGGATTTCAGACATCTATACTGTAATACTGCTTGTGGTCCTGGATGAGCCCACATCATCCCCCATATCCAGTTACTGGATACGTTTAATCTGGTAGCAACCACAAAATGTCCCTTGGAGCTTTTGCAAACAGCCAAACTCACGTGGGAAATTAATGCTTGAACAYGCACGGCAGCTCCAGGAGGCAGCTCCCCACATCCTCATGCTGAGCAGCTTTGCACACCCCAGCTGCAGGCACCGGGCCTCGCCTCCCCTCCTGTCCCCAGCAGCCACTGCTCAAGATTAAACCCAGGACTCGAGAGGAACATTGGGCTGAGAACTTCCAGCACAAGCTCAGCGGCCAGAACTGAGTTTTATCAGCTACCCRTATTTCTTTAAAATGCAGGGAAATAATCAGAAGTTAGCAGCTGAAAGACACTGATGCCAGCGGCCCTCTGCCAAATGAAAATCAGCTGAAGATGCAGACTAACAAGGGCCTGACGTTATACCCAGTGAGGTCTGAACTTCTGGAGGAGTCTGATACTCCAGAGAGCCAAGTCCTTCAGCAAAATTTAATCTCCCACAGATAGCTCCTCAGCAAATATAAATTCTTGTAACTCTGTAAAGAAGATAGATCRAGCTATTTACTTTTCCTGAGCACACGGGCCAGCTTTGACAGGAATCCTCTGGGTACCTTAGGAGAGGTCCAACCTTCTGAACCTCAGAACTTATATTACTGTTCCTGCAAGGGCGGTTGTCCCCCCCAGCATCCACCAACATTTCAACATGAMCTATGGCTTCTGAAATCAGATCTGGAAACATATTGATTGAGCTTACTGATGACAGTGGTTTGCTGCAGCAGCTTTGCTCCTCATTAAGGTAACTTTATACTACATAAGTAGCAGTAAAAAGTGAGCAGAATTGGAAATAATTTCTCAATATAGGCTATTTCACCAGCATGTAGCTCATATAAAAATTAATAGTATGACTCAAATAAAAGTTAACAGTATGAAACTTACCACTTTGTAAAACATTAAGATCTTCAGAACATAAAAGCTGGTTAATTAAATTTATATTTCTTTCTTTTGAGGAGCTACGCTGTGCATCTTGCTACGTCTCTGACAAAGCTTCCCAGTGCCAAGGGAAATAGCCTCTAAGCAGCCAGCTCGAGTCTGGTGAAAAAGCAAATAAAACCCAATCCCCAGCACACAACCACTTTTCCTTGGGTATCGATAAGAGGAGGACATGCCGGGCACGGCTGGCTGACCAGGGAAGAGGCGGCCCTGGGATCCCCTTTGCAGCAAAGGGGATAAATTATTAAATGGTGCCGTTTCACAGCACCAAGTGGTGAATTTTCAACCTTCCTCCGAGTGTGCTGTGAACTAAAAGTCATAATGCCATTCAATTAATCATTTAACAGCCCTAGAAGCCAGGTTTCCATCAACTGCTGAAAACCGAACATTGGGTTTGCTTAATCACT